ACAAAAATATTAAATATACACTAAGCAAACGTGCATTGCACGTTGCTTACCCCTAGTATATATATATATACACTAATGAAGCGAAACGGGGCTGAGTTATGAAGGGCTTTAATAAAATGAACTTGAACTAACTTCCTGTATCTGTAGAGTAGATAGAAGTTTAGGTAATTTATTATCCTTTACATTATTCTCCCTCATCTCTCGTAGATAGAAGTTTAGGTAATAGCCACGTCACTCGTATTTATGATAAATAGCATTATTCAAAGCTGCGTCGGAGGCGGTTCGTGTGAAAACGGGTCATTCGCCGGCGATTTTTCTCCATTTCAGTTCTGAGAGCGCGACGTTCTTTACAAAGAACAATGAAGAAGAAGAAGTCAAAGCAGCCAACCAAATCCAAACCCGAACCCGATCCCGACTCCGACGTATGGGCATTCGTGATTGGTCGGGGCACAAAATCCGCGTTCCTCTGCATCAGCCTCTTTGCTTTGGTGGTTCGCCTCGCCGTTGCGATNTATATATATACAGAAATGATCTAATGAGCACCGGTGCTCATCTTATCCTAAGCACCGATGAGTTGGCACATTAATTCATTGGTGGATAAAGATTTTGTGAGTTCCAATCCACCAATGAATTAATGTGCCAACTCATTGGTGTTTAGGATAAGATGGGCACCGGTGCTCATTAGATCATTTCTGAATATATATATACACACACTAATGAAGCGAAACGGGGCTGAGTTATGAAGGGCTTTAATAAAATGAACTTGAACTAACTTTCAGTATCTGTAGAGTAGGTAATTTATTATCCTTTACATTATTCTCCCTCATCTCTCGTAGATAGAAGTTTAGGTAATAGCCACGTCACTCGTATTTATGATAAATAGCATTATTCAAAGCTGCGTCGGAGCCGGTTCGTGTGAAAACGGGTCATTCGCCGGCGCTTTTTCTCCATTTCAGTTCTGAGAGCGCGACGTTCTTTACAAAGAACAATGAAGAAGAAGAAGTCAAACCAGCCAACCAAATCCAAACCCGAACCCGATCCCGATCCCGACTCCGACGTATGGGCATTCGTGATTGGTCGGGGCACAAAATCCGCGTTCCTCTGCATCAGCCTCTTTGCTCTGGTGGTTCGCCTCGCCGTTGCGATCCACCCGTACTCCGGCGCCGCCACACCGCCGAAGTTCGGAGACTACGAGGCACAGCGGCACTGGATGGAGATCACCATCAATCTACCGGTGAAAGAATGGTATCGAAATAGCTCAACCAATGACCTCAGCTATTGGGGCCTGGATTATCCCCCTCTCACTGCCTACCAGAGCTATCTCCATGGCCTTTTGTTGAAATTCTTCGATCCGTTATCGGTTTCGCTCTTTACTTCTCGTGGCTATGAGTCCTACATTGGGTATGTTAATTTTTTTATCTTGTGTTCATACTCCGGCGGTTGAAATTAAATTAGGCAGTTATTTGTTCCTTTCTCGAATATTTATTTTATTTTGATTTTCAATTTTTTGAATCGCCTTATTTTCCTGTTATGATTTTTATTTTTATGCTGTCTGTCTGGTTGGAAACATTCGAACTTTCAAAATTTTACATCCCACGCAATTGGAAATTCTTAGGAAACTAAACTTGCAGAGTAAATGAATTACCAGCTTATTAAGAGGTCCAAGTGAATTTAAGAAACTACCAGAGATAACGCAGTCAGTTTGAGCTACATACTCGTTACATTTATCAATGGATTTAATATTAAATGAATTTCTATATGAATACTCACCAGAATAATAATTATTTAGAGCTTGCAAATTCTCCTTAGTTTTTTGAGCTCCCATGAAAGACATTTCTGAAACATGACTTGGGAAAAGGAGCATTCAACTTTGAACTTAAGGAGTAATCTTTACTCTTCTATTGGCGATTAGAGAAGTAAACAATATACCTAACGGCTATCCACTTTTTGCTGTTTTATGTAGGAAGTTATTGATGAGGTGGACAGTTTTGTCGTCTGATTTGCTGATATTCTTTCCAGCAGTTCTTTATTTTGTAACTGCGTATTATTCTAAGAAGTCAACTGTGGAGAAAAGTTGCACGGCTTGGCACATTGCAATGATTTTATTAAATCCATGTCTCATTTTGATTGATCATGGCCATTTTCAGGTGGGAGTGAATTTTTTGTCTGGCAAAGTTTTATTATAATTGGTTCACACGTTAGTGCTCTTATTTTCCTCCTGGAAGTTCATTTTTTTACTTTGTTGTTGTCAGTACAATTGTATTAGCTTAGGGTTAACGATTGCGGCTGTTGCGGCAATTTTTTCGGATAGAGACCTTGTCGGATCTGTATTCTTCTGCCTTGCTCTCAACCATAAACAGGTGCATTTCTACTCACTGTTTAAGTGAAAAAGCATCTCTGAGTTAGGTTTCATCTTGAAATTTTATTTATGGTGTCATGTTGTGTATATAGAGTTGTATAGAGTCACTCTTTAACAGTATAAACAGTTGTGTGCATTGAGCTTTAGTTTCTTTTGATTACTTGTATGAGTTGCCAAGGTGGTGATGTAGAGGACAAAGCATCTAACGGGGCAGTAAATTATTGCATCAATTTTTTATTTTTTATTTTTTATCATACAGAGTGTTTCAGAGTGGAAGATATCCCTAGTGATGAAGTTGAATTGTTCAGTGTCTTGAGCTCAGCATTAAGTTTTATGAAATGTCATGAATAAGATTATGCATTGTTATTTTACCTACATTGTAAAAAAATTGTATTGCTTCACTCCCTGGCTTATCAGATTTGTGGACTATCATTTTTGCGTTGTGCAGATGAGTGCATATTATGCACCTGCATTTTTTGGGTATCTCTTGGGCAAATGCCTTAGGCACCCGAATCCAGCCTTTGAGATCTCAAAACTGGGTTTGGTGGTATTGGGAACCTTTGCTATTGTGTGGTTGCCATATCTTTATTCTGCCGACGCGTCTTTGGAGGTAAAATCTCAGTTTTGACATTTAAGTTCATTTTCATATTATTGAGTTGGTTAAATATAATCACAACTTGAGTCCCGTCTGCTACTCCATCTACAGAACGTATTCTTGAGGCTCGACTCTTCCAATTTTAGCCCCTATTTGACAAACATTATTTTAAAATTCTTTAATTCTCATACTCATTTTCAATCATACATTTACACAATAAAATATTTTGCACATAAATCAAAAAAATTTCCCTTTTCTAACCACACATTCTAAAAAAAAATCACTATTCAAAACTACATTTTCTCAAAATAATGGCCATCAAGGGCTTCATATAGTAAAAATGAGAATGTTAGATAATGTGCTTCCAGTAAAATACACGTCCGTCCTTCATAAGGCCTGCAGAGATATGGCTTGTTGAGCAAAGTATCTGTTTCAGGTTAGATGGATATGGTGTGAAATTCCTTAGTACGTAGGCATTAGATTCTCCAAAATAACTATTAGTTCTTATTATATGTTCTCCTTTTAAAGAATCTCTACGAGATGACAGTTCACATTCTAAAGACCAGTTGGGCAAATTATTTTTATGTAAGTATTTTATGTCTTCAGTTTGATACTTGAAACAGGTTCTTTCTCGATTAGCCCCCTTCGAGAGAGGTATATATGAGGATTATGTGGCAAATTTTTGGTGTACAACTTCGGTCCTTGTGAAGTGGAAGAGATTGTTCACCACACAATTGCTGAAACTTCTTAGTCTTGCTGCAACCATTTCCACGTTTCTGCCTTCAATGATTCAGCTTATACTGTTACCTACCAAACGAAGTTTCCTTTATGGGATGTTGAATTGCTCTTTCTCATTCTACTTATTCTCATTCCAAGGTATGTAAAATAATCCGACTTGTCCTCCATTTTGCCTATTCCTTTTATATTATTGGTATCGTTGTACATGATTGTTTGCTATTGGTGGTTGATGTTACAGTACACGAGAAATCCATCCTGCTGCCACTTCTGCCAGCAAGCCTTTTGGCTGTTGAAGAGCCTTTTATTTTTCGGTGGTTAATATATTATGCCTTGCTCTCCATGTTCCCTTTATTGAGACGTGACGATTTGATTCTTCCATATATTGCTCTATATGGTCTATTCGTCCTTCTGTACTATGCTCCTGGACGAAGAACAGATACAAGAGAGACGAATTTCTTCGGTTTCATTTTACAATCACTTCTGCTTACCTCCTCTCTTATTCTTCATATAATCTACATGACCGTAACTCCTCCAGAGAAGTATCCTTTCCTTTTTGAAGCCATGATTATGCTCTTCAGTTTTTCCCAATTTTTATTGATTTCTATATATTCAAATTCAAAACAGTGGGCACTATCTAAGCACGATCAAGTTGATATAAAAAAGAAGAGCCTCTAATTCTTTAGAGCATGAAAGTTTCTAGGCATTGTAGATTTTGTGTTCTTCAGAGAAGTTGGTGGGCTTGAAAAGAAACTACTCTTCAATGTTTGACCATATTAGAATTACCCCATCTAAATTGTTTATTGAAATTTCGATATCAACTCTTCTATGCTGACATCAGACTGAATTGAACTAATGTATATTGTCTCTCTTATGTGATGTTTTCCTCGCTTCTTTTTTATTTCTGTGGTTCTTTTTTCTTTTTGGCCATGTTTTGTAGCTGCATGAAACTAGTCAGCATCAGAAAGGTGGGTACTTTGTGGACTTGGTTGATCGAGCAAAATGTTTTGATTAGTTTCACCTACCTTCCCTGAGTTTGACCATATTGCTTAACAGACATCTATAGGTACTGAAATTACAAAATCTTGTGCGTGTACATAGATGTGTAAAGGTGAGCTAGGTCTGGCTCTCTAGGCTACCATGGGCCTTTATTAATTGGTTTGTTTTTCTATTGGGCTTGGTGGTCCGTCTGGCCCCACATGGATTGGGTGCAGGGCTGTGCCGAGCTGGGCCAGGGAAAGCCCACTCGGTCACTCCAAAGTCAGGTCAATGTGGCTTGCTTTACGCCAAGGTTTTAAAAAGGGAAAAATTCATAAATAAGGTGTTTAGTTTACACCAAATCAAAAATCATGTTTATAATTTGAAAA